AAATTCCTCTGCTGTTCTTGTCCCTTTGATATTCCATATAAATTTTAAGATCAAACTTTTGAGTCTCCTGAAAATCTCTGTAGGGATTTTGATCAGAAGCATTATAGTTTGAATTTATTGAAATCATAGATTTGGAGGGAATGGGCATCATGTGATCCTGATTTCTTCCGCCTAGAGATACAGCCTGTCTTCCCATTTTTTTGTGTGATTTTTCAAAGATTTTTATTTATTTATTTGACAGAGATAGCGAGAACGGGAACACAAGCATGGCGGAGCTGGAGAGGGAGAAGCAGATTCCCCACTGAGCAGGGAGCCCGATGTGGGCACGATCCCAGGACGCTGGCATCAGGGCCTGAGCCAAAGGCAGACGCTTAACAACTGAGCCACCGGGCACCCCTCTCCCATTTTTTTAAAAAATATTTTTTTATTCATTTGATAGAGAGGGCATGAGTCAGGGGTGGTGCGGCACAGAGGGAGAGGGAGAAGCAGGGAGCCTGCCGTGGGGCTCCATCCCAGGACCCTGAGATCATGACCTGAACTGAAGGCAGACCCTTAACCAACTGAGCCATCCAGGTGCCCATCTCTTTTTTTAAAAGAGCAGTTTTTAAAAATGTCCTAAAAGAATTCCATTTAGAGCATGTGTAAATATGTTTTATTGTATCTTTTCCTAATAAAACTTTTGTTGGTATACAGATGGATCTTTTTTCCTGTTTTGTAATCTAAGTGATTACTACTAGTGAGTAGGAATAGTACAGATTTTTACATTAAGGTTGTATTTAGCAACTGTTAACTTATTAGTTCTGATAGTTCCAAATAATTTATCTGTAGATTCTTTTAGACTTATTATGTGGGAAATTATTTTGTTTTTTTAATGTAATTTTACTTCTTTAGTGCTTCATGTCATAATTTATTGCATTAACTAGGATCTCTATCCAGTATTAAATAGCAGGCACCTTTTTCTTGTTCTTGATTTTAAGTAGGAATGCATCTAAAATTTTACTATTAAGTATTATGTTTACTGTAGTTTTTTAACATAGATATTTTTTATCTGTGTCATAATGATATCACTCTGAATTTAAGATTTCCCCACTAAATGATTCTGTTCAAATCGGAATCTTTTATGGAATTAAAAATTATATACATTTGACACCATTCCCAGATATTCTGATACTTAAAGTATAGGCACATTTGTATTTTTAAAAACATTGTAGGGGCGCTTGGGTGGCTCAGTCGTTAAACGTCTGCCTTCTGCTCAGGTCATGATCCCGGGATCCTGGGATTGAGCCCCGCATTGGGCTCCCTGCTTGGCGGGGAGCCTGCTTCTCCTTCTCCCACTCCCCCTGCTTGTGTTCCCTCTCTTGCTGTGTCTCTCTCTGTCAAATAAATAAAATCTTAATAAATAAATAAATAAAAGCATTGTGAATGATCAGGACTTTTTTTGTTTTTGTTTCCATTATGGAGGTTGAATTTTATTGGATGGCTTTTCTGCATCAAATGAAATGATCTTTTAAAAATTTTAATTGATAGGGGCGCCTGGGTGGCTCAGTTGTTAAGTGTCTGCCTTCGGCTCAGGTCATGATCCCAGCATCCTGGGATCGAGCCCCGCATTGGGCTCCCTGCTCCGCGGGAAGCCTGCATCTCCCTCTCCCACTCCCCCTGTTTGTGTTCCCTCTCTCGCTGTCTCTCTCTCTCTCTGTCAAATAAATAAATAAAAATCTTAAAAATATATATATAAAAAAATTTTTTTAATTGATAAAATACGGTGCCCAGTAATAGATTTTCTGTTGTTGAACCCATTCATGCATTTCTGGAGTAAATGAGTAGGCTACCAGTAGTAGTAGCCCAGACATGATATAGGATGATTAGGAAGGGCTGGCTTGATGATAATGACAGTTATAATGGAAAATAGAGAACTGTAATGGGAGAGGGAAGGGAGAAAACATTTGAAAAGGGCATTAAATTTGATACTAAAATGTTTTAAATCACTTTTGTGATTGTATACCCCATCAGTGAAAAAAATCAAGCATGCATTCCTAGTATATGTATGTTTATTTAAAAACTATGCATGTGGGGTACCTGGGTGGCTCAGCTGGTTAAGTGTCTCACTCTTGGTTTTGGCTCAGGTCATGGTCTCAGGGTTGTGAGATCCAGCTCTGCATTGGGCTCCCTGCTCAGCAGGGAGTCTGCTGCTTTCCCTCTTCCCCTCCCTCTCCCTCTTTCTCTCTAAAATAAATAAATCTTAAAAAAAATAATAACTATGCATGTATTTTACAGTACTAATACTTTATGTACATTTAAAGCATGCAAAATTTAAGTGAGATAAAGATGAAATTGTTACTTTAAAAATAAGTTTTGCTTTACTTAATGGTATATTTTTATTAAAGTTTTAGTAATACTTTTCTAAAACCAATGTTGACTATACTTTCTAGAATTTTTTTTTAAAGATTTACTTATTTTAGAGAGAGCACGCACACACGTACATGAGTTGGGGGGTAGAGGGAGCGGGAAAGGGAGAGAATCTCAAGCAGACTCCCTGCTGAGCTCAGAGCCTGTCACATGGCTCAGTCTCACGACCCTAAGGTCATGACCTGAGCCAGAAACAAGAGTTGGATGCTTAACTGACTGAGTCACCCTAAAATTTTTTTAAATCTTAGTTTAACACTGTGACATAATCAAAGATTTGGAACGAAGTTCTCTTTACTTTGATACTTGATTCTGCTGACTGTCATGGTCGAAAAAGATAACCTACCATACAAAGCTATAGATTCAAATGGAAGAAGTATGTCATAGGTTGAGCTTACTAAAATTTTCAGGTCCATTCACTAAATGTCAAAAGGGCTTTTGTTGAAATTTTCATCTTCCCTAATGATGTTATAGTTGTTATTATAAACCAATCAGAAGTTGTTACAGTGTTTTTAAAGGACACATTCAAAACCCAGTGTTATTTGGAAGATTTTATTTGTTTTTTATTTTTATTTTTTTAAGTAAGCTCAACGCCCAGTGTGGGGCTTGAACTCACGACCCTGAGATTAAGAGTCACATGCTGTACTGACTGAGCCAGGTGCCCCTATTTGGAAGATTTTAAAACCAATTAGAAAAATCTGTTACCAAGTTTAAAAATATAGATATGAGATTTTTAAAAAATAGGTGACACATACTGTTTTTGGTGCAAATTCATAACATCTCTTTAATAAATGCAGTCTCCATAGTTTGAGTTTATTTTAAAAAGGTGTTTAGTCTTCACATCGTTAAAATGCCACCTTTACCTGAAGAGACAGATTAGTATCTGCTGGAAAGGTGCAGAAAATAGTGGTTTATTAGTCTCCACTTTGGGTGTGAAAACTGGGAAGCTTGCTTGCTGGCTAAGCATAGGATAGGTGTGTGTGGAGAGATAACATGGTTATCTTCATAGAAAGGACTGTCATTGGGAGGCTGTCTACACCAAATACAACCTTGTTGTATGTAGCTTTATTATGAAAAACAGATTAAAAAAAAGAATTCAAAAGGAAAAGAACATCTGTTAGGCAGCTGGTATAGTAATGCTTGCTTTTTTTTTTTTTTTTTTTTTTTTAAGATTTTATTTATTTGAGAGAGAGAGAATGAGAGACAGAGAGCATGAGAGGGAGGAGGGTCAGAGGGAGAAGCAGACTCCCCGCCGAGCAGGGAGCCCGATGCGGGACTCGATCCCGGGACTCCAGGATCATGACCCGAGCTGAAGGCAGTCGCTTAACCGACTGAGCCACCCAGGCGCCCCAATGCTTGCTTTTTTATAAAAGAAAAATGAATAAACAGTTTTCTAGGTTTAACAACTCTTTTAAAAATTCTGGTATTGAGATACAAGAGCAGACCTCTGTATGGTACAGTTTTTTGCCCACTACCTGTCTTATTTCTGTTAATGTCTGCTATTGAAAGGCCTTTTTTCTTTTTTTTTTTTTAAACACTCTTTTTTTTTTTTTTAAGATTTTATTTATTTATTTGAGACAGAGAGAATGAGAGACAGAGAGCATGAGAGGGAGGAGGGTCAGAGGGAGAAGCAGACTCCCTGCCGAGCAGGGAGCCCGATGCGGAACTCGATCCCGGGACTCCAGGATCATGACCTGAGCCGAAGGCAGTCGCTTAACCAACTGAGCCACCCAGGCGCCCGAAAGGCCTTTTTTCTATAAAATTGACCACTTTGATGAAATTCTCTAATGCATAAGTGGCAGTCCCCATTTGGAATATACCCATTCTTCCCTCTGGATTTCTCTAATACTGCATATGACATATGGCTCCAGCACAGGGTCCCATTGAGGATGTCAAATTGTTCTGTATATTAAATGTTGGAAAGCCTTGTTCCTTTTTGGAAAATATGAACATAATGAACATTTAAATATTTTCTTAAACCTACTCTACTTTGGAGGCCGCAACTTTAAACCACATTCTAGTTGCAAGTCAGAAAGTTCACAGACTCTTGCTTCTACCCCAGCTTTCAAAAACTAGGTAGTCTAGGTAGAAGAGTCTCTTTGAAAGTCTGAAGAACCTGGGGAAATATTATCATGCTAGGGATTTAAGATAATTCTGCAAAATTCTATATTCTCTATATATTTATAACTGCATAAATTAGTTTTAAAGGATATAAATAAAGATTTAATAAGCAGTTTTCTTACCAGAATTTATTTAAAAAATAATGCTATAATTATTTCATAGTTCAGAACTATTTGAAGTTCAGGCTTATTTATTTATTTTTTTTAGAGAGAGGGCGTGCATGTGCGAGTGGGGAAGGGGCAGAGGGGGAGAGAGAGAATCTCAAGCAGAGTCCATGCCCAGCGCAGAACCTACATGGGGCTCGATCTCACAACCGTGAGATCATGACCTGAGCCAAAATCAAGAGTTGGATGCTTAACCTACTGAGCCACCCAGGCATCCTGAAGTTCAGGCTTTTAAAACCAATTCAGACTAGTCATTTTATTAGCAATTCTAATACTTGAGGTATTAACTTTTCCCCCTCTATGCTTCTTAAGTAATAGGAGTGAAACGTCTACATCTGATAACACAGAAACTTATCAAGAGAATACAAGGTAAGCTTTTGAAAATTTTGCTACTTTAGTACATAATATCTGTCACTTTGTAGTGGATTTTTTAATTAAAATTTTTTTATTCAATGAAATCATCAGACATAATGCTAGATTAGCAATTAAGAAATAAATGCTACAGATGCTTTTACAGATCACATTAAATTAGTTTAGATCTCCTTTTTCACTGTGGTCATGTTTCTTCCATGCATAATTTAGGTAGAGATGTCAATATTAACTGTCCCTTGCTGAAATTCTGAGGTATTAAACTTCAGTAATGCGATTCAAAATGTTTTGAAATGTTGATCATTCTGATGATTGATGCTTTTGTTTTTCACTTTTCCTATGAATTTTGTATGTTAGATTCCTAGAGACTGGGATAGACTAAAGATCTGACCTTGATGGGAATCTTTTAAAAAAAGTTTTGAGTTCTAGATAGAACTATGGTGGGACACCACAGGGTATTGACAACTTTCAAGGGAGTTACAGTGACATCTATTGGCCTTACACGAATGACTACATTTAAGTTGTTTGGACGTAACTGCTTAATACATGGAACAGCTAGGTTTGTTTTTGTTTAGGTCAAAGGCACCATGAAAAAATGTACTGAAACATTTTAAGGGTACTGTAAACTGAGATTGTTTGGGAACATCTGTTTTAGATCATTTACTGAGAATAGTTTTTTCAACATGAAGGAATCTGAATAATAAATAATACTTTTAAAAAAAACTTACAATAATTGGTCAAAGAATAAGAAAGTGTCATTTTTATGTTATGATTTCACCTTAAGTACATTTCATTTAAAATTATTTTATAGTTCTTCTGGGCATCCTACCTTTAAGTGTCCCTTGTGTCAAGAATCAAATTTTACCAGACAGCGTTTACTGGATCACTGTAACAGTAATCACCTATTTCAGATAGTTCCTGTGGTAAGTACCTATGTTTAAGACAGTCTTCTACTTAAATACGCTGTTCCATTTATTTCACTTCATGTGTATAAGGGAAAGTAGCTGATTTAAATTTGGACAGGGCATTATCATTAAGGTAGACTTTTGTCAACAAAAAATTGATGACCATGAAGCAAAATGAGAATTTAAAATTCCAGTAACTCACTTACAGAAAGGGAGATGCTTATTGTAAGGGTAATGTAGGAGGATAGCCTGGAGGAGAGTGAAATCATGAAAGGTGAACTGGGGATTTTCATTTGAGGAGTGGCAGAACCAACCTCTGTTGGGGCCTCTCAGTTTCTTAGTCTATAGGATGCAGGCAACTGGATCTGGTCTGATGGATCTGCTGCAGGTGAAAGCACTTATAAATAAGAATAAAGTCAGTAAGTATTTTTAATTGTATCCTTGCAGAATCTAGTATATGAATGCATAAAGCATGGGATGAAAAGAATCATACTTTCTTTTTGATACATGCATATCTTTTTGATGCCATTTTGAGGCTGTGTAAGAAAGGGGTGAGACCTTTTTGATGAATGAGGGAGACAGAGTAGAGTGCGGGATTCCAGCATTGTGTTAATGGTCCTACAAGTCCTCTTTTGGAACATAAGTTACACAGGTAAGTGATTTCAACTGTGGATAGTACAGGAGAAACTGAGCTGGAAGAGATACTTCCTTTTCAGCTGTACGTTTTGATATATAAATATTTTATTCAGAAATAAGAGTAGAAGGAAAATTTTATAAATAAGGATTATAGGTATTTCTAAGCAGTTTTAGTTGGTTGTGCTAGAAAAAGTTGTGAAAGAATGTGCCTCAGTAACTACTGAAGCTACTCTTAAACTCTTACATAGCACTAAGGGAGACACACCACCTATTCTGCTCATTAGGGGAGGGTCAGTTACTGAGAAGCAAACACAGTTGCCAAAGATCTCTCCAGGAAAAATCTCACATTTAGGGTATTTCATTTGTTTTATATTGCATTGGCAAATTTTTGTTTCTGCATTATTTTCAACACAGCACGAACCTTGGCTAGAGTCCAGTTACCAAAAGTTTCTTCTTCTTTGTTTTGAGAGTATCATCTATTCACTTTTTAGCATGTCCTTCACTTAAAACCTTAAGGATACGATTTAAAGTTTACTTCACTTTCATTTTACTTATAAATAAAACTAAGCTAATAATAATTATAGTTAATTGTGGCTCAAATGAGATCACGTACTTGTTAATGATAGCAACTATGGTATTATTAAAGGTTGGGTGTGATGTTTTTGTTCAAACAGTTGTGTGGTCGGAGATATAAATAACAGAATGTATATCTCTTTTTATTGTGTTGTGTTAGATTAGTATAATTTATCTGAGGTAATTTGGTCAGGAAATGACCTTGTCTTGAAATTGGGACCTTTGAAATGGTTTTCATGTAGACATTTTCAGTAACATAAGCTTATGTTGTTTTAATACTTTCAATAATTAGTATGTTTATTTTCATTATTTTATATTTAAAACATTCTGTTTCTCATAGACATGTCCTATTTGTGTGTCTCTTCCTTGGGGAGATCCTAGCCAGATTACTAGAAATTTCGTTAGTCATCTAAATCAAAGACATCAGTTTGATTATGGAGAATTTGTGGTAAGTGAAATTCCTTAAGCTTAAGAAAATACCCTGTAAATATTCAAGTTAAATTAATTTTTTCGGGGCACCTGGGTGGCTCAGTCGTTAAGCGTCTGCCTTCGGCTCAGGTCATGATCCCAGGGTCCTGGGATCGAGCCCCACATCGGGCTCCCTGCTCAGCGGGAAGCCTGCTTCTCCCTCTCCCACTCCCCCGCTTGTGTTCCTGCTCTCTCTGTGTCTCTCTCTATCAAATAAATCAAATCTTTAAAAAAAAATCTTTATAAATTAACTTTTTCAATCTAGACTTGAGTTTTGAGACAAGCTATTGTATCATACTGGATGGTTATAGAGCAAGTTCGGTTGTTTTTATAATAATATAGGTGAACTTTGGTTTGTGGAAGTGGTAAAAGTTAAATTTACTGTTCACCTCCTATTCTAGAGAGATAATTAATATAAGAGCAAACCCCCAGATTGACAAAATGATGATTTATATGAAAACTGCCTAGATTTAAGGGATAATTGTACCTGCTTAGAGAAGTAAAACTGGTACAGCAGATGAAGGAGAATGTATTTCTCATGTAGTATAAATTGCTAATTCTAATAGATTTCTCATATCTATATATGAGACCTATTCTTTTTATTTTTTTTAAAGGTTTTATTTATTTGAGAGAGTGAGAGAGATCACGAGGTGGGGAAGGGACAGAGGGAGAGGGAGAAGCAGGCTTCCCGCTGAACAGGGAGCCCTATGTGGGGCTCGCTCCCACGACTGCAGGATCATGACTGGAGGCGAAGGCAGATGCCCAACCGATTGAGCCACCCAGGCACCCTGAGACACATTCTTTTTAAAAATGAGGGAGCATAATTATTAAAGCCAGGTTGAGTAGATTCTGGTGTTACATGATGGCTTTAATGGGACATGAGGGAAGTTACATAAAAACAGATCCCTAAAGCAAAACATGGGGTTACTTTCTACCTCCCAACTGTGTCATGATAATTTTTTAAAGAAATTAGATGACTTTTTATTTTGAAATTACATTTTATTCAACTGCAGTGAATTAAAACCATATCTAATTCAATATTAATCCTGATAAAGAATGGCTGATACTTATTTTCCAGTTTAGGTAAGCACAGGCATGTGCAATTCTGACAATGGCATGAACAGAATTTACATCTTTTCTCTGCTCTCCAGTGTTGAAATTATATCATTATTGATAATTTTTTTTTTATTTTGTGGAATTTGCATTTTTAGTCATTGCTGTTTTAAAATAACAACTCAAACATATGTAAAATTTAGGTGTACTTTATGATTTTAGCATTTTTATGAAATGTAGATTCTCAGATTCTCATTTTAAGAAAGTTTATTATGGAGAACTATGATTTGGAAAAACAAAAATATATTTTATGAACCACTTTTGATCTAATTGTCCAGTTGTTTTATTTTGCCACAGAAGAGTATGTAATTTTAATTATTTGAGATTGTCAAGTGGAAACCTATTTTAAAGCAAATCCATAGGACATAACTTACAGCAAGTAAAATTAAATGAAGGAGAGTGGTGTAACTAAGATTGAGTGAGCTATAGTTTTTAGCTTCATGTTAGGATTAAGAAGCTGCTGTTCAGTTCTCTTAATTCAATAAATGCTTATTTTCTTTAAAATGAATTTATTTTTAGACATTTGACATTTCTTTTCTAGAGATGACAGAATTTATTATCAATTAAAATTGTGGGTAACCTTTTAACTGTACTTTTAATTAATGACCTCATCATAAAGCACTATAACTCAAATTTCATTCTCTGCTGATCCCATTTGTTGTTTATCACTTATACTTAAATAATTACAATTGAACTTAATTACTAAGGTTCAGGTATTTAAATCTTATATTTTATTTTATTTATTTATTTTATTTTTATTTTTATTTTTTTTTTAAAGATTTTATTTATTTATTTGACAGAGAGAGACACAGCGAGAGAGGGAACACAAGCAGGGGGAGTGGGAGAGGGAGAAGCAGGCTCCCCGCAGAGTAGGGAGCCCGATGTGGGACTCGATCCCAGGACCCCGGGACCATGACCTGAGCTGAAGGCAGTCGCTTAACCAACTGAGCCACCCAGGCGCCCTAAATCTTATATTTTAAAGGATAGCATATATTGTAACATAAACCGTTTCAAGAGTGTGTAGTGAATTGGGCAAAGTATTGAGTAGTGGAATATGTCTTTCCTATTGACATGTTAATGTCATTGTTTTTAGAATCTTCAGCTAGATGAGGAAACCCAGTATCAAACTGCTGTTGAAGAATCTTTTCAAGTAAACATCTGAAGGCTATAGAAATCTCTGCATCTTTGTACCTGCAAGTGCCATCTTTAAGGGGAAAACTACATGAAGTCACCGTTTCAGTAACTTGATGTGTATATTAATAAAAGTAATTCAGTCTATTGATTTAGTTTTTTAATTAAAAAATAAAGGTGGGCCATCTAAAAACTTCATCTTCTTGATAAGTTAAAAAATGAAAGTTAGGACATTGTCTTTAAAAATATTGAAAGGATTATATTCATTAATGTAATGAACAAAAGGGATTCCATGTTGTACTTATCTTTTTTTATATTACACAGTCTTGAATTTTTCCTTATGTTGCTTTTGGAATTTGTTGCAGTTCCTCCCATTGACCTTCTTGTACACAGGTAACACATAGTAGCACATTCTGAAAGATGTGATTGATAGAAACCTACCAAATCTGAGCCAGTTACCAGAGTTGAAGAATGGAGACTTGAAGTGCTAAATGAAACAATCCAAAGGAAACTTTTTTAATACAGATTCTAGCTGAAGAAATTCAACTATAAGAAAATTGTATTTATATAATGTTTAGTATTTTTGAAGACTAGTGAGATTTCTTTAATAATTATAACTCTTTAAAAAGTGAAAGTTCATTGTAAAGATATTTCCTTTTTGCCTTAGAAGGAAATACTAAGAGAAAAAATTATTTCTTAGGTGGGCGGTTGGTAATTTCAAATCCTGTTTGTTTGGCTGACAAATTTGTAAGCCCAAAGTACGTTAAGCTGAATTACAGCTCTTTGGCCTCAAAATTTTCAATAGCCAGTATTTCTCTTTAACTAAGATAAAACTTTTATTAGAAACTTCCAGTTGGTGATACCATATTCTACATGTATATTTAAATGAGAGGTTTGGCTTCATCTCAGTTTAGAAATTCATTCAAAGCTAAAGATGTATATATATATATGCATACACTTTTGTATGTGTATATATACACACGTATGCATGCAATTTGTCAGGTTATGTACAGAATTTCTATTAAGATTTTAAAAATGGACAAGCAATATGGGATTGCGTATCTGATTTGATTAAAATTTTATGTATCACCAAATTTTTAAAAAAGTAACAGCCAAATGCTAAGTGGTCTAGTTGCTAAGTGGTCTAGTTGGCTACTATCATACCTTAAAAGTTGAATTTACACACACACACACACATAATTACCTTGTTTATATGGTGCTCATTTGTTATTCTCAAAGATAATGCATGACTATGGAGTCATGAGGTAGATGCTACCAACCACTCTGTTTCACTACTTCTTAGTCAAAACTGGGTTTGTTCTTCGTATTTATTAATAAGAATCATAAAATAATTTGTACTAGAAGGCCTAAATCAGCATAAAAGAGGAAGAGTGTATTAGCTGACATTCCATACTAATATGCATTGTTTATGCATTCTTTAACTAAAAGAACATAAAAGAAAATCTCAGTAGTTTGCTGCTAATATATACATATATTGTATGAAAGGGTATATTTTGGTTTTGTTGAAACCCTTGTTGACTTTTCTACAGTGAACATTTTTTTTAACTTGATTTAATAAAAATGTTAATTTTGCAAGTGGAGTTTTGTAAAAACCTTTTTCAGTCAAACAAAATGACTATGGTAGTAATAACAATCACCAAAAAAGCCATACATCTTGATGAACATATGCCTTTGTTCTGTCATTCGAAAGAGTGATGTTTACTATGTGCTTGAACATTTTCTCTGCAGTTACATGAGTGTAACTGTAAGAATAGCTGTTTAATGAACTTTTAAAAAAAAAATTTTTGACCATAGATTTTTCCAGTTTAAAGCAATAACTTTACTACTTTCTTTCAGAGTTAATACTTCCAGTATATCAAGTTTTAAACTTTACATCCTGAGATTTGGGAACTTCTTTAAAGGAAAATTGTAGTAGAGATCATCTTGATGAAATTGTGTTTTGAAGTTTGTGGATTAGTTAAATATCAGTAATAGTCTTGTGTGTCTTTCCTATAAACTTTTCATAAGGAAAATATTGACTATTTGCTATTACCTGGGAACTCCTCAGTATGGAAATGTTTGTTTAAAATCTCACCTTTTGTCAGTGGATTAGGAATAGGGACAGGCTTTACAGATTTACAGTTTAAATTCATGAGAAAGTCCTTATTTTTAATATGCTTATAGCTGAGTCAGAATAAAGGAGGGAAACTATTGATTGCTGATACCTAAATTTCACAATACCACTTCTAGGAAAGCAATTTCCCTCAGCAAGTTACAGTTTATGTTGTTAAACAGAGTCTTATTTGAGATGTATTGCTTTATTTTTCAATTAAAAGTGGTTTTCTCCTACTTGTGTGTCTAATTAAAATTTTGTCTAGAGGGAAACATGATAGCATTTAGTTCTTGTAACTCACCTTGGAAGACATGGAGGGAGATAATCCATTATTTTGCACTTGAAAAAGTGGATAGGAGAAAGCTACCACATGCTGATGATATATGTTGGATTTAACTTTATAAACCTATTTTATCTTTATTTCTAATGTTAATTTATCAGGCTATTTCGTCAAGTGTTTATGCAGCAAGATTTTCAAGTCCTGTTAGCAACCAGGCAGAAAGCCAGTTAACTGGTTAATAAACACTTTTATATGGAGTAGTTACCCTTAAGTAAGATACCAGGGTCGTAGAACATACTGCCAAATACAATGTCATATACCTTTTGGGTTGCTTAATAAGTATTAATTATGACCTTCATTGAATCAACTTTTATAGAAATCCATTAGGGCTGCTACCCAAAAGAATCAACCTTTTGAGGTGATGACATTTTATTTTAGCCTTTGTGACCCAGAAAACATGTAAATATATGCAGTATAAAACTCATGATAGAAATATGAATAAAGTACTCATCCCATGGTACCACTTAAGTATCAATATAATTTTCTGATTATGCAATACAATTTTGAAAAAAAACGTGGAATGGAAAGGAGTTATATTAAGAAATTAAAAGAATACAGGAGCCTCAAAAAAAAATGGGTATTACCACCTGCATTCCCCCCCCCAATCTGACAGCAATTGTCCAATCCTGGGGCTGAGAGAGGTGACAGTTGCCACACTCCCACCCCTGAAATGAGAAAGATAAATGTGTGTATTCCATTATGTACTTAACTGGCAAACTTGTATTAAACTATACCGCACAGTTTCCTATGTTAATATACCATTACAGAATTCTAGATGAGCAGGGCACGGGAGTGAATGTCGATTAGACCTAATCAGACGAATTATAGCCATTCTGTGGAGAGGAAGAAGGAACACATGAAATGTGAATGAAAGGAATTTCCTACCTGTCAATGTGGCAAAATAATGTTACGATAATGTGCACAAAGTGAACAATAGCCTGAGTAATCAGGGCTTCGATCAAGAAAAAACATTAGAATCCCATAAATCCCTTTACTTCTATTTGCAGTCATAACTCGTCACCACCACAAACTTTTAATACCACAGGTTGTTTTGCCTGCTTTTTATACTTTATAGAAAACGAAGCACACAGTAAAAATTCTATCTGGCTATTTTTGTTCAACATTGTTTTGAGGTTTTTATATGTAGGTTTTAATTTAGTCAACAGCTACCCTACAGTAACTTGTCTTTTGTCCAGAACAGAAAAGCTAAACAGTAGCTTTTGTGAATTTGTGAATGTTAGATACATTGCAAGTGGTTCTTTTCATGTACGTTGGCGCTCGCAAGTGCCGATCTATGTTAAAACTGAAAACTGTCTGGCTCCGCACCGCCCCCCCCCCCCCCCCCCCCGGCAAATAACTGGGGAAGACAGGTGAAGAAAGGAGCCAGTGGCTTTCACAGCTCTTACCTGACCTTTTTCCTAAGCTGCATTGTTTATGCTTTTAAGATTTACCCTTTCAGCAACTTTCATATATGCAGTACAGTATTAATTATAATCACCATTCTGTACATTACATCCCCATGACTTACTCCTTTTATAACTGGGAATTTGTACCATTTGATCACCTTCACCCGTTTTTGCCCATCTCCATCCTCTGGCAACCACCAGTCTGTTCTCAATTTATGAGTTTGGTTTTTGTTTTTTAGATTCCACATACAAGTGAGGTCATACAGTATTTGTCTTTCTCTGACCTTATTTCACTTAGCATAATGCCCTCAACTTCTAACCATGTTGTTGCAAATGGCATGATTTCCTTCTTTTTTGTGGCTGAATAGTTTGTGTGTGTGTGTGTGTGTGTGTGTGTGTGTGTGTGTGTGTGTAGACACTTAGGTTGTTCCATGTCTTGGCTATTATAAATGCTGCAATGAACATGGGAGTGCGGATATATCTTGATATAGATAGATCCTGATTTTATTTCCTTTGGATATATACCCAGAAATGGAATTGCTGGATCGTATGACGGTTCTATTTTTAATTTTTTGAGAAAACTCCATGTTTTTCGTAGTGGCTGTACCAATTTACATTCCCACTAACAGTGCACAAGGGCTCCCTTTTCTCCACATCCTCGCCAACATGTGCTTGTCTTCTTTAATTTTTTAAAAAGATTTTATTTGAGAGGGAGAGAGAGCAGGGGAGGGGGGAGGGTCAGAGGGAGAAGCAGACTCCCCGCTGAGCAGGGAGCCCGACGTGGGGCTGGATCCCAGGACTCCGGGATCATGACCTGAGCTGAAGGCATACGTTTAATGGACTGAGCCACCCAGGCACCCCTATTACGTGCATTGTATTAGAAACCATATTTTCATCAAAATTGTTCAAGGGTATACGAGCATTGATAGCAATTTATATTAGTTATAACCTCTAAAATGTTTTTCATAATTAGGACCTTCTGTATGACTAGTGAATTTTCTCTTTTAGGTTTGTCTCGTTGCTACATACATATTTTGAATTTGAATTTTGGCATTCAACACATTAGCTATCCCTCCAAGCTGGATAAACAAGGCCTTCACCTTACTGCACATGAACAAACCAGCCCAGGAGCAAATCATTAAAGACTGCTTTAGTCAGATTTCATCTATTAATATTGAGTACGGTTATCAAACCACTTATGAATATGCTTAAATATTCTAGTCTCCAGCTCTTGCATATAGTTCACAAGGCTAACAACTCTTCATCTACCGGTCCATTGAATGTGTTAAAATATGAAATGTATTTAGTTCAATTTGACTTAGTGAATATACAGTGGGTCATTTAATTACTATTTTCTTTTCTAATTGTTTACAAGCCAGCTACTCTAGAATTTTGTCAAGCAACTTAATTCTCACTGGTTAATTTCTCTCTCTCTGGAAAACAGTTCTATCAGGAATGCTTAAAGGGGACTACATGTGGGATGTTCTATGGTCTTCAGTCGTGATAGGTGTATTATTTCAAGAGAGCTGGAAGTTTTTGTTTCTTCCGTTTGTTATTTAGGTCTTGAATATTAGGAAGGACATTCTGATTCTGAAGAAGTATTTCTTGTATAAAATTTGGGAGCAGTTTGATCCAGATAGGGTTTCTTAGGTACTGAGTGGTGCTTATTGAGGACCTACAATATCATGAATATAACACTTTTAAGTGCAAACATGTCTAAATAGAAGATTCTATCTGCAGGCTTATTCCTTTTATATTCCTGATAAATGGCCCTGCTGCTGCTTATGTGATGTGGCCAAATATGATGTTAAGGAGGCAAGTTGATCTGAGGTTTGTGAAAGCTATAATACAGCAAAAGTTATATTTATTTTAAAGCAGTTTGAATTGGGTTTAAGACATCACATCATTTAATCCAGGGGTGGAAATACATGAAATCAATGGAGCTGTATCTTTGTTATTCTAAACCTAGGACTTACTGGGGGCACTTGACTGGCTCAGTCAGTGGCGCGTGTGACTCTTGATCTGGGGGTGGGAGTTTGAGCCCTGCGCTGGGCATAGAGATTACTTTTAAAAAGAAGATAAAATAAACCTGGGAATATTGGTTTACTTGTCTCTTGCCTTTATCATTGCTCAAGGATTATTTGCGGTAGTTCTATTATAACATCACAAATTTAAAAGTGACTAGTGTCATAGCCACCATAGATTGATATTCAACCCACCTTGAGAATATGACAGGGCTGCCCCCCATGGGCTGTATGTCTTAGGTTATCTGTGGAGCCAGGTCCAAAAATGAAAATCTTGAGGTGAAGCCAGAGGTCAACTCATGGATGACTAGGTCAAAAGCACTGAGCCAAGACGGAAGACACAAACTACAATGAACTGGTTGGGGCATGGAGATGCTTCTAGTCAAAGAAGCAGACCCAGAGCAAGAAAAGAAGGAATGAAGCATGAGTATGCTGTGGTGTGAGTTAGGTTCAGGTAAACCTTAGCAGAAGGAGATCCTCTGAGCATAGGCACTCCTTTCATTCTTGTCATGCTACCTAGAGACTGGACATGAAGCTTTCATGTGGGAGGCTCTCAGCCATTATCATGGGATTGTCATTTTTACACTGAGATGCAGTTTATCTGGAACTAGAGAGATGAATTCATACGAAGTAGCTATTTACTTGTACTCAGGTATCTTGAGCTTCCATTCTCCAGTAGTCATGTTTATGGTCAATATTTTGCTGAGTAGAAAAGATGGAAGTCAGATTTGTATCCCGAGAACCTTAATGTTGAAATGTCCCTTCTTTCCTGGATGGCAGAGATAGTACCTGTTTATGCGATAAAGGCTCAGTCCTGTCACTTCTCTTTTCTCACTGCAGACTTAATCCCTAATCAAGCATCTCATGTTTGTACGTCGGTGATCATATTTGTACAGGTTTCAGGTACCATCTTTGTTAATCAATCTCAAATTTTCATCCACACCTCTCCTCTGAGCTCCGGACCGGTGTATCTGATATCTGTTAAGCGTCTCTGGTTTTGGGGTGCATAGGAATCGCCTCAAGCCCTTGTTAAAACAGATTGCTGACCCCAACTTCGAAGTTACTGTATCAGAGGTCTGGATTAAGA